AAAAAAAAAAAAAAAAACATTAACAGAGTTAGCAATATAACAGACAGCTGGAACCTAATGCCTCCCAGCTCTGCCACCAGGTGAACAAGCTACCTTCATAGCTGAGAACTCAGATATGAAACACAGAAAGCTTGAACCTGGTGATTTCCAAAGAAGATGGCCCCTCAGACTCCTGTGTCCTCCAAGTATATAGTACACAATGACAGCTACCACTGACTTGCATGATGACACCGGGAAATGTGACCCGCCTAACTTCACACACACACACACACACACACACACACACACACACACACACAGCATCTACTCATGCAGGAACTCTGTTCCCATCATTAGGATCAGCTTCTTACCACAGCGTGGTTCTTGAGGTGTTCCCTTCATGAACAGCATGCAGGGGGCAGCGTGAGTCAACTTTTTCAGGCGAAGGTTGAGATCTTCTTTAAGATGCTCATTAGCACTAGGAGGAAAGGATCCACTAGACACGTGTCGCTGGACTTTTTTGGTCAACTCTGGGGCATGTGCACCATCTAACCGGTCGACTTTCTGAGAATTCTGAAGTTTGAAATGTCATTTAGAATAAAGTGGCATTCCTTCACCATTATCTATATTTTAAGACTCCAAGGTTATAGGAAATACATAGCTCTAGCCAACTTTTAAAGGCATCCCTGTTGTTATTGAAGTGAAAGAGTCTGATTAGCAATTGCTTGTACTACTTCTCACTTAGAAACACTCATTTTGGAGCATGTTTGGTAAGCACTGAATCTCAAAGCAAGACCAGCTTGAATGGACCTACTGAACACAAATGAAGTTTTGGAGAGCTGTGTAATACCCATGGGTGCCCTGAAGCAAAGATTTACACTTACTTCCCAAGGAGTCATTAATCACCTAGAACCAGCCAGATGCCTCCTCACATCCAGGCACATGGCCTCAATAACCCACTTCAAACCTGGGTCAGGGAGTACTAAGTCTGCAGGAGGAGTCGGGATTCTGGTCAGGAGGCTCCAGGTCTAGCTGTGAACTGCCTACTGCTCATGGCAAGCAACAAGCATGGTCCTCATCAGTGCAAAAAGAGAGTACCAGAAAAAGGTACAAGGCCAGGAACAACCAAAGAGATCAGAAAAGGATAAAAGAATCCGAACATACAGTCCCAGGAGCCATTTGGATGGACCATCTCTGATGCCTCTTTCATCCTTACCTTGAAGAACAGGAAGGTGGGAACAGAACTAATTTCATATTTTTCAGAAACTTCAGGAACAGCTTCGGCTTCCAGCTTTAAAATAAAAGAATCCAAGCTTCATTATTACTGGTCCTTTCTCTACTTTGCTATGTAAATCAGTTTCACATGCACTGTCCCTTCAAGTTCATGGTATTTTAAGACTATAGGACAAAAGTTTATGACACATTTACATTTAAATGAGACTCACTGGGCTGGCATGTCATCCACGGAGTCTGCAGTGTCAAAACAGGTTCAGAGGTTTTTATTTTGTTGCACATTTCAAAAGATGCCTGGAGGCTGTGAATAAAATTTTTGGTGCACTAGTGACCTAGTAAATTTTCAATCATATGCAGCTACTACTATATTGAAATCCATAAATCACTGACCCCAGTTATGTCATGATTACAGTGCTTATTTTCTGCCCACAGCAATTCTTGCTGTTTGCTCTATTGACTAATTTCAAGAGGCAGTACATCATGACTGACAGTTGCAGCTTTCTGCAAATTATGAAGCAAAAAGGAGTATTTCTTCAATAAACTATTGATGTCTGATAAATTTTACTTTTAACCCCTGCATGGCTGCTGGACACTAAGCAAACAGCCTGCTTGGTTACTTGCTCTCCAGTCTATTCAAACATGTAAACTCATTTTGACTAAGATGACTGTATTTGGTCTGATCATTTCCTTGGGGCACCTCATCAAACAATGTATGATGTGGTATCTGGCACATGGGTTTCAAAAAGATTTAGAAACTCAGTTTCTAGATAATTAGACCACAATTACTATAAGCTATTTACGTAGGTCTTTATAAATATGCTTTGAGGAAAAACCAAGATATATTATATTTTTCTCTCATAGGACTGTCAATTTAATATAAACTTTTTGAAACCAATAAAAACCTGTATTCACATTATACCTATAGGAAATAAAATTTATTGATAAATTATATTGTTAAATTGTTTAAAATATATATTCTGAATTTCTCCAAGAGTGAAAGATTTCCACTGGGCTTAAAATGTGATTTTCACCTCTGCTGTCCCCAGTCAGGCTACCTGTGCTGAAATGATGCCTGGCCTGTAGAGGCACTGTTCAGCCTGCCCGGTCTCCTGTTGGCTGCCTGCCTGCCTCCCATTTTCACAGGCTTTATACAGATACTGTCAGCGCCTTCTGCAACAATGTTTTTAATTGTTTCCATTTTTCAAATGTACTTAATGATAAGGTTTTCTACCTTCAATTAGCACCAGTTGTCCTCTCATGTGATAAAAGAGCAAAAAGAGAAAGCAGCCTGACATAAAGGTTTAGAACAGACTGTAGTTAGAAACACGTGTGCTATTCCATACTCAGACCAATGGTGCCGGTAAAAGCTGGGCTTTCAAAAGCATGCCCACAATGTCACCCAGTAACTCACTCTTTTCTTTAACTCTCTGACGAGCTGAGTGTCACTCACAAAGAGACCTTACCTCCAGTGCACCTGAGCAACATTAAAAGGACATGTTTTTGGACCAGAACAGACAGCACCCTAACTGTTAACGAATGGCTACAGGTGTTAACTAGATCTCTGCTGCCATTCCTGCCTGAGGATCACTACAAGTGCCTCCCTCAAACCAGCTTCTAGAAAACTAGCTCTTCCTCACAGAGGCCATGGGAAGAGACAAACCACAGAAGAGGGGACAGGATTTCCACTAAAGCCACAACAGTTCTCCAAAACATTAGCACCATTTGACGGCCTAACACCTCTGTAGAGCTGGGGTAGAGGCTCCCTGGATTTGTCTAGCATGCCTGTAGCCCTGGGTACAATGCCCAGCACTATAGAAAGAAATCTTTGCAGCACTCAAAATCCTTTGAAAATATGGTTCTAATATCGTGTAATGGTCTTAGTAATGAAAATAGAAAATATTTTTAAATGCCTGCATGTATAAGAGCTCAAAGCTACCTTTCATGAACAGCCAGCTCCATACCATGAGCCCTTCTACAGACTAGATGAACAGGCTTGATAACCAGTAGACCATCACTAGTGAGCATGCCTATAAAGGTGTTTCACCTGAGAGACAGGCTGAATAAGGAAGACTCACTTGTCCTCAAAATGTGAGAGCATCACCCAAAGGAGTAAGGCCTCAACAGACAAAAACAACAAAGAAGTGGTGAGTTCACTCTCTTGTTAGGCTGGAACACCCATCTCCTCCCCTGGAATAAGAGACCCACGTTATTGAGCCTTTGTGCTCCCGCCACTGGAGCTCAAGCTTTACACTATCAGTTCTTTGGTTCTCAGGCCTCTGGCACAGACTGTACAGCACCAACCCTGCCTCTCCAGCCTGAAAAGGCTTCTAAAGTTCTGTGGTGAGGTGAGCCAATTCCTATAACAAATCTCCTTACTTATATGCATCTCCATGTCCCACTGGCTCATTCTCTAGACAACTCTGGCTAATGTAAAAGGTAACTTGGATGACATATGTTCAAATATAGAGAAATGGTACAGCTCAGAAATGAAGTTGAACTATAAAATCTGTGCTGTCATTATGCCACATGTAGCTTCCTACTACTACAGTCACAAGAAAGAATGCACTTTAGGGATTAGATTTACCCAGACTGCATCTTCACAAAGATGCCTATGGTGGGAACCTCTTGCTCCCTACCCGCAAGAAGGTCTGCAGAGCCTTCCCGTGGTGTTCCAGATAGAGGGTCCTCATTCTTTTGGGGGAATATGAAATAGGGGTTCCCTATGAAGCCTTGGCTGGCCTAGAACCTGCTATGTAGAACAGGATGGCCTCAAACTCAGTGGTCCACCTGCCTCTGCTTGAATGCTGGGATTAAAGATGTATGTCACCATGCCCAACAGGGTCCTCATTCTTCTACTTCAGTTTAGCAAGTCAGTGCCACAGAAATGGCTCACAGCTGAGTTACTCTAAGCTAGATAATGCCTGGTGTTTTGGGCACTAATTCGTTTACTCCTGGCAATAACCAGCACTGTCATCTCAATCATTTTATACAAAGCAATTGTACAGGTATCTGAAAACTAAGCAGCATGAACTCTGTCTTTAAGACACTTGCCTATGTCAGAGCAGAAATCAATCAGATATTAAGGAACCTATTCTTCCTTTAAGATTTATGCATTTTTGTCATATGTGTATGAGTGTTTGCCTGAATATATATGAGCAACATGTGCATGCCTGGTGCCCACAGAGGTTAGAGAAGGATGGTCATATTCCCTGGCACTGGAGTTATAGGCAGTTAAAAGCCACCATGTGGGTACTGGGAACTGAAACCAGGTCCCTGGCAAGAGTATACAGTGCTCTTACCTGCTGAGCCACCTCTCCATCCCTGAAGACTCTGACAATAGGCCTCAATGTAACTTAGTAGTAGAGCACTTGCCCACCATAAATGTGAGGTCCTGAGTACAGTCCCCAACACTACAAGGATGGTGAGAGGCTACAAAACACAGCAATTTACCTTTGTAACTCCTCCATACCTTTGACTCTCAAACACAGCAGTCACTATACCAGTGGTTCTAAACCTTCTTAATGCTGTGACCCTTTAATATTCATGTTGTGGTGACCCCCCAATCCTAAAATTATTTTCGTTTCTACTTCATAACTCTAATTTTGCTACTGTTATGAATCCTAATGTAAGTATCTGTTTTCCGATGGTCTTAGGTGATCCCTGGAAAAGGGTTGTTCAACCCCAGGTTGAGAACCACTGCACTCTACAATGAAACAATACTGACTAGAGCACCATCATAAAACTCTTCCCTAAACAGCTGACTCTAATCTCTAAAAGAGTTTATACTGAAGAGGCATGGTTAGTAATGGTCAGTGTTAACTAACTCTCATCTTGATCAAAGTTCCACATACCTCAAAGACTGGTCTCTGGGAATGACTGTGGGGAGACTATCCAATTTAACTTGATGGCACTTAGGTGGGAAGGCCCATTCTATGTGGGTGGCACCACTCCATAGGCAGGAGAATCCTAGGCTATGTAAGTGGACAAGGGAGCCAAGCATGAGCGTGCATCATTCTTGTTCTATTTCTGAATAGGAAGGTAATGTGAGCTGCTGCCTCAAGCTTCTACAGCTGACTTCCCTGCCACAATGGACCTGGAATTATGAGCTAAATAAACTTTTCTCTCAAGTTGTTTTTGTCAGAGTATTTTATCAGAGCAATAGGAAAGCAACTATGACACATGGCAAGTGAGAAATGTAGAAGGGGAGGACAGATTTTCTACAAACTGGAGCTGATTTTTTTCCCAAAGCATTCAATCTTTTCATCATTGACAAAGCCTTAGATAGACCTTCCTCCTTCCTACTTTCTCTCCCTTCCAAATATCATATTCTGAAAAATTCTATCAAATAATTAATTAATAAATGTTTTCCTACTAGAATGGTATCACAAGCCTGTAAACTCAACAGCTGGAGGCTAAAGCAGAAGATCATGAATTCATCTGTCCGTCCACCCATCCCCATTCACATGGCACAGATCAATCAAGCATACTTCCATTTTAGGTAGAGAACAACTCTATATTTTGAAAAGAAAAAGTACTTAATATTTTAATTAGCTATTTCACTCTATTCTGAATAAGCTTGAATTTTTTTGTAAGGCATTTAGCAAAGGAAGTAACTCATGTATTTCCTCAAAGTTCTTAGATGTGAAAACCTACAGAGGGACCCAAGTTTCAGGATCCAACTGGATGTGGCAACAATTGAGACAGGGAAAGACATAGCCCATCATAAAGGTAACACCAGTGCACCTTACAGCCACATCACAAGTCAGGGAACAAGGGACTGGCAGGGATGAATGTGAAAGCCTTGCCTCTCAGCTTTCAGTGGGAACAAGCTTCACAACTGACTAGAAACATGTGGCTAATTTCTCTGAACTGGTATCTTACCATTTAGAAAACTAAGTCCCTGGTAGTTAGTCCATTTAAACACCTTATTCAAGGTCACCTAAGGCTAGGGGTGTAGCTCAGTTGGTAGAGTGCTGGCCTAACATACAGGAAGCCCTGGGTTGACCCCCAGCACCATATAACCAGGGCATGATGGCACCCACTACAATCCCATCACTCATGAGACAGAGGCAGAAAGATCAAAATCTCAGTCATTCATGGCTACATAGTAAGTTCCAAGCCAGCTAGGATATATAAGGCCCTGCTTCAAAATAATAACAATTTCATTTATTTTGATGGCCAACCAAAAAATTGATTTAAAAAAAATCACTTATTTAAATGACTTTGTGTGAATCTATCACCAAAGAACAGAACAATCACTTCATTTCACAAGTCAAAAATGCCAAACTACTACACTTTTTTAAAAACTCAAATAAAAGGAAAAGTAGGTGTAGTAGGACATCCTTGAGGTGCCAGCTACAAGAGGCTGATGTAGGAGGCTGGCTTGCGTCCAAGAGTTTGAGGCCAGCCTAGACAGTATAGTGAGACTCCCAACTCAAAAAGAAAAGATAGTTGGCAGTGGCGGCGCACACCTTTAATCCCCGTGAATCTCTGAGTTCGAGGCTGGACCGGTCTATAGAGCGAGTTCCAAGAAAGCCAGGGCTATACAGAGAAACCCTGTCTCGAAAAACAAATACAAACAAACACACACAAAGAAAAGATAAAAAAGACACTGATGGAGTAGAACATGATTAGCCTTACTCCAGAAATTTCCACAAGTCCTAACTAACAGAAGTACTGCTACCATCCCCTTAACCAGCAGGTGCAGTCAGGCTTAGGTATCCCTGACAATCCAGCAGTACTACACAGCTCCAACTCTTGGCTCACAGCGACACTTAAGCACTTGAACAACTTAAAATCTCACTGCCAAGTCTGGTACCAATGTGAGAAGCAATTCTATAGTCACTTTAAATAAATCATTCAGATGGCAGCTGAGAACAGTGTGTTACCTAAACCAGTAACATTATACGTATGAAAGAGGACATGGAACAATTACCATCATCCTGACTAATTCTATGATTGAAGTGTTTAATCATTCATTTCACTTGTAGTCATTATCTTTTATCACTGACCAAACATGCAGTTTTAATGTCCCCTTCTATTATTTATATTGGACATTTTAGGGTTACCTTCTAAGGTTACATTATGCATTTCATCAGAATTTTAAATAAGTCCTTAAATTTTAAAAAGCTAACTATTATATTCATATTTGCTCTATCTGCATAAAGAAACACAGAGAGAATTCATACAAAATTAATACAACTGGTTACTTATGGGGAAGGACAAAGGGTTGGCAGGGAAGACATGGAGTGAGCCTTCTCAATGTCCACCTTGCTATACCGCTTGGCATTTTGAGCCATCAGGATACAATACCTATTCAAAGAACACAAGTGCTGTCTATACAAATGACTATTAGAAAACATAATCACCTACCACAAAGGAATTAAGGAATTAGACACCCAGAACTTCACATGGTTTCTAACCTCATCTATGGGTATTCTGTCAACATGTATTTTGAACTCACAATTTATAGTTTTAAAAACAAGGTTTTGGACTTTGTTTTAAACCCTGAGGATTCAGCACTGGAGCACAGAAGCACAAGGTGCTGATCCCAGCACTTAGGAGGTGACAAAACTGAGACCTTGAGGCCAGCCTGTGCTGAGACCCTGTCTCAAAGTAAATAAATAAACTCTTAAGAATTAAGACGTGTGAATACAGAGTATATCTTCTTTCCCAATAATTCATTATTCTCAATATATATTTTGCTTTCTTTTTTTCAAACCTAAACCAGTTTCCTAAATTCTCCTGACTAGATTACAGGTGTAAAGCCAGTAGGCTAACCTCCAGCACAGCCATCCACTTCCTAGAGTCTACCTTCTCAAAGACAGCAGGAATGTAAGACCCAAGACCTGAATAAAACAAGGGATCAGTACAGACAGAAGAAGCAGAGACAGCAGCATCTTCCCGAGGACCCAGCAACCTGTTCATACATACACTTTCTAGGATCATTTTCCTCATCACAGATATTTTCTCAATGAAGTCTTAACTATCAAACCAAAATTATCCAGTGAATTATCTGGTCTGCTTTTATTGTCAAACATTTCTGTCCTTTGCCAACTCTGTAGGGATTTTTACACTATGTAAGAAATGCAACATTAAACGATCTGTCAGAATAACTTAGTGCAAATACAACAGAATTCAATACAAAGTTCAAGTATTTGGAATTTCACAGCTTCTTCCTTTACATTTTAAAAATCTAGTTTACCTCATATGTCAGAAATTAATAAAAAACATAAGACTGAAAATATATAGTACCTTCACAAATGAAACATGAGGGTGTTCTTTAGCTAACTCTGCCATGACATCGTTCATCTGTACACACTGTGGAGCCCATGGTGCCCAGAAATGGACCACAAGGAGCGACCTGTAAATAAATAAAACACATTTTTTTCAAATTATAATTCTGGAAGCAAATACTGGTGTAGATTAAATTCTCCAACCTAGGAAACTAAGAATTCAGCTGTATCGCGCAGAATCACTGGCAGTCTTCAGACTCTTAGATGAATATTCAAGTTAATGACATTTCCTGAGCCAAGATTAAGCCCCATTAAGTGGTTCTAAATGTCCATCCATCTCAACTAACAGACATGTCAATTATGTTTTCAAACCCATGATCAAAGTGGAAACTGAATTTCTGTACAAGAAAGCTGCTGCTTAGAAATGGCTGTGGACTGCCGGGCGGTGGTGGCGCACGCCTTTAATCCCAGCACTCGGGAGGCAGAGGCAGGCGGATCTCTGTGAGTTCGAGGCCAGCCTGGTCTCCAAAGCGAGTTCCAGGAAAGGCGCAAAGCTACACAGAGAAACCCTGTCTCGAAAAACCAAAAAAAAAAAAAAAAAAAAAAAAGAAATGGCTGTGGACACGTTATTACTACTAATCTCACATAGTATTGTCACAAAAGGGTATAGTTATAACCACAGAAGAGCAAAAGTCATAACAGTTAGGCAAGTCGAAAGGAAGCAGAGCTGAGACCACTGCTCATACATGCCCTTTACAGTTACATTGCCAACAGACCCTCTGAGCATCTCCATAGGAACTGGAGCCATTCGATTGCTCACTTCCTGGACACCTCAATGTTACCAATCTCAGTTATTTTCATACAAAACTATCTTCACAAAGACATATCTTTGAAACCTCAAATTTAACTGAAACTTAAATTTACAGAATTCTAATTTCAAATAAAATCCTCCTCCAAGGTGGGGGGAAAAACACATAAAAATATGTTATATAGAGAAAAGATGCAAACATATTTACCTATAAGCAAGGAATGGAATGCAAAATGATAAAGGGGCTGGGCGGTGGTGGCACACACCTTTAATCCCAATACTTGAGAGGCAGAGGCAGGCAGATCTCTGAATTCAAGGGCTACATAGAGAAACCCAGTTGCTGAGGGCTGCAGGAATATATCATAAGAACTCAGCTGGTTATGGCAAAGTTACTACCTGAAGGGATCAGGGAATTCCTCGAGATGAAGCCAAATTCCAAGGAGTTTTTGGTGTTATTTGACTTGTTATTTATCAGCTGTTTTCTGTTATGAAAATCATGTGTGCCTTCATAGTTTTCCCAACTGACTTTTTCCTAAGAAGGGCTAACAGTGTGGACTGATCACTCTGGACATACACATTCCAGATATTTGGAGAACAGCCTCAGGAAAGGCTTTCTCTGGAATCAGATATCTCCCTTGGCCACTTTCAAGGACTAGCAATAATAATAGTCCACATGCAAGTCTCCTGGTTTAAGATAAATTACACAAGGAGACACCGCCTAGGTCAGGTGGACGTTAAGTAATAGCTTTACACAATTCAGCTCGGACCCTCCTTTCTTACAGCCTAACTAACTTTATAGACCTCTAACTCCTTACCTAACCACTTCTAGGAATATTTAAATAACCTTCTGTGCTGACAGCTCAGCCAGAACCCCATTTCAAGCCTCGCTGTAATTATCATCATTGGTAGCATCCGGCCAGGTCCATTCCCAGATGGAGGAAAGTACCTTATCAGAGACACCTCTGTACTCTCTGAGAACAGACTTGGCCATGCAGGCTACCTGTTTGAGAAGGCCTGGCAGATGTGCCAATTAAGCTTTACTTCCTCCTTTCCCAAAACTTACCTCTAGTTCCAGATCTCCCTTTAACTATCACCAGAGGCATCTAGCTGTACACAGGTTGCCTAGCGACTGAGCACACTTTACCCCACCATGCAGAAAAATGGCAGATAGCTTGGACAGATAGGAGCCACAGGAAAAAAGAAGACAGTTTTATGTTTTCCCATTGACCTAACAACTTATAGATTCTTAACACTTTCTACTAATCATGTTTAAGACTATAGTTGAGCACATAAGAGCCCTCTTCTTAGATATTACCTGAATTTAGCCTTTAGTTAATTCATTTTCCCATTGGTCACTTCCCTTTGGGGTTGCAAATGATAATTAACAGTTATTGCCTCCCTATGTGATTCTTATCACCCCTCCATTTGACCCTGGAAGCCTGGCTTTGCACTGCTAAGGGAATACTGCCTGTAAGTGTATATATACAGGACTTCCAGGGCACGGGGACAGAGAAAAGAGAATGGAAGAACTAGATGGGTAAGAACTTGAGAGGAACAAACTGAGATGGGAGAGGAGAAGAAGATGGGAGAGGAGATGATATGGGAAAGAACAAGATGGATGAGAACCTACAAGGGGCAGAACTAAAATGAAGGAGTTAAGATAGAACCTAGAGGGGACTGCAGACAAGCGTAGAGAGAAATCAGGCAAGAAAAGGAGCTAAATATGAGAGCAGAATATAAGCTTGTAACTGACACAGAATAAAAAAGTATATGGACTAAGGAGTTTCATGTACATAGATTCATTTCTTTATATCAAAGATTAATTATCAGCTTGTTGTAGATTCTTCCTGGACCCTGGGAGGGGACTATCGAGGGGCTGGACCTCCATAGTCCACAATACCGAGTCTTGGGGGAAAAAAAAGAAAGAAAAAGAGAAAGAAAGAAGGGAAGGAGGGAGGGAGGGAGGGAGGGAGGGGAGTGGTGGGGAGGGGAGAAGAGGAGAGGAGAGGAGAGGAGAGGTAAGAAAATATAAAGGGGCTGAAGAGATGGCTCAGCATTAGGAATCCTTGCTGTTCCCTCATGAGGACCATAGTTCAGATCCCATCACTCATGCACGTCACACAATTCACAAAGGTCTCAAACACCAGCTCCAAGGTTCTGGCCTCCACGAGCCAAAACACATATACATGTACTCACACAGACACAGATATAAATTAAAATAAATCTTAAAAAAAAAAAGTGAGAAGTGGGACCCTCCCTATCCACAACAAAAGTTCCTCTCATACACACAAGGGCATGGGGAAAGTTTCAGCCATAAGGGGCAGGAAAAGGTGACAGAGCACAATCTAAGGCTTAGACACTGATGTCAAGTGTCATACTGGGAGGAAAGGAAGTCTACTGGAATATTAGTACGAAGGCTCAAGCTCAACCAAGGTTCTCTACAGATCTGGCAATCAAGAAATACAGAGCCAACCGTGTCACAGAGAGGACAGAGGAGACTGGAGGTCAGTGTCTCTGGGCCTCCTCAAGTCAGGCCAGATGGAGGAAAATAAAAGAGGGCCGGCTTCAGGAGTTTTAAGTCCTGAGTCTTGCAGAAGTCAAGAGTAGAGTGGCAAGAAGGAAGGCCTAAGAACCATGAAAGGTAGCAACAATCAGTGAATGATGCCAACTGCTAAGGAAGCAGGAGCCCCACAGCAGCACAATGACCTATCTGGAAGTGGCCACAGCAGAAATCGACCTCATGAGATCTGGACTGCACAGAGGAATCCAACAGCATGGAGGGCCCAGCCTGACTTCAGTGCAAAAAAAAAAAAAAAATTTTTTTTTCAATCTCCGGATACCTGTATGGGGCAGGGACAAGGCCAGTGCAGACAGAGAGCTGAAAATCTGAGGCAACTGTAGGTGTAAGGTTTCCAAGAAGCTGGGAAAGGAAGCCAGAGCAAAGAGAACAGTGCCTTCCAGTCCAGAGCCAAGGAATTAAGAACGGCTTAAAGGACACATCAGAGGTAGGGATGGGGAGGGCTTAGACAGATGATTCCTTAAGTCCTGGTTTTGCTCAGGTGTAAGCTAGGTGATATGCTGAAACAGAAATGGAAGGAAGCCCAGTGTGAAGCTTCATGCTTGTAACCAACCCCAGCACTCCAAAGGCTGAGGCACGAGAATGATCAGGGGTTAAAGCCAGACTGGATACACATCACTGTAGTTCAAAGCCAGGCTGGGCCAGTCAGACCACCTCAAAAACCCCCCCCCCCCCCCCGCACACAACCACAGGGACTAGTTAGAACTGATGAAGACAAAACCTTCTAAGAGTACACAAAGGCAAATAGGCTCCACCTAAGGCAAAGAAGGGCACACTGTCCATTCACTAAATGGGTTACAATTTATACCAGACAGACTTGTATCGGGCAGATCTTACAAGAGTGAGTTCTTAGGCCTCTGTTTCTCAGGCATTCAACTGCATATTTTTTCAGTCCTCCTTAAAGCTGTCTAGGGGCCTGAACTGAGTTTTAGCCTATAGAACACTGAAACCCTCCCTCATAAGCCTGTGTAGGCTGTGGCCACACCTCCCAACCCAGTAGAGCATCTAAGAGGTTCCAAGGCCTAACAGTGACAAGAAGAAAAGCAGGTCCACAAGGCTTTGTCAAAGAACACACAGCAGTGTGACATATAATATACCCAAATGTCACAGATAGAACAAAGCACCTTATATTCCAACAATGACACACAACTCAACTGTATAAAAGGACTCTCTAGAGATACATACAACCACATAGACTGTTGGACCCCAAAGTTTAGGGTCTCAAGTGGGCGCCCCAAGAACCCAGACTCCAGTCCAGTTGATGCAATAGCAGGAGGATTTATTTAGCTTCTATATAGAAGGGCTCCTCTGCTCCCAAGAGCAAGAGTCGCATCTTACTGCAGCCCCATAAGGGCTTATAAAGGAAAAACACACAAAACCCATAAGATTACAATTCCCATACAGTTTCATTTCACTAGATCATGGTCTGGGTACAGAGTGATCACAGAGGGTGTACAGTTACGTCAACAGGTACATTCTTCCTGAAACCTCAAGGAGGGTATCAGGGCAGGAGTGGAGTTTATACAAAGGTCACAGTGGTCCTTCCTGGAACACCTGCAACTATCCCAGTCACAGTTGAGCACATCTCTTAACAGACATCTTTTTACATTGTTATATGGTTGCAGGGGAGATTGAACAATGCCTAAGTCAGCCTGCTCTTGGAACTAGATTTTTAGTTTCTCTTTTCCTGAGGCTTGGGGGTGTAAGCCTGAAGGGCTAGGGTCTTTCAAGACAAGCCTGGAAAAGAAGCCAAAGATGCCAGATTAAAGGAATATCATAATACCCAAGACTGTGTAGAGTGGTGAGGGCAGCAAAAGAGGGAAAAGCTTGGCTACACTCATTTAGTGCTATCATGCAGTTTTCACTCTGACATGCTTAAATCAAGCTGGCCATTTTTTAAAAGGGGGCTTTTATCTTGAGAACATGTCTGGAGTTGAGGGCACTGAACTACTCCCAACACCCACACTCTTCCTGAGCATAACAAACCACGAACAAATACAACTTAATCCGTTTGTTTAGAGAATGTGACAGAAACCGAGAACAAGCATGGTCATGATCATCTGCTAAAAAATGACCTGAGGTAACTGCTTGAAAACAGTAAGATTCCAAAGACTGTGAAACTGGCATCACTGCATTCATGACTCAAACAGAGAAAAGCTGGAGCAGGGCCTCCTTGAGGTAAATCCTGACCTGGCTTCTGAGGAACAAAGGTGATCTTGACGGGCAGTGGGAGGAATCAGAGCAGATAAAATCCTTACAAGGAAAGGGGGAAGTGTATTAGCAACTGGTCCAGGTGTGGCAGTGGTGGAACACCTGACAAAGCAACTTAAGGGGCTTACTCTGAGAAAAAAAAAAAATAAGGAAAAAAAACACTTTGCTGCCATGGTAGTGCACACCTTTAGTCCCAGCACTTGGGAAGCAGAGGCAGGTGTGGAGCACCATGCACATTCAGGATGGGTCTTTCCACCTCAATTAACCTAATCTAGATCCCTCCCAGAAATGACTATGGACAGGTCTCCTGGGGACTGCAGCTCCTACCAAGGTGAAAATCACTGTCAACCACCACAGAGGAAAGGAGAGCCGAGAATGGAATGGACGCAGATGCAGGAGGCAGGAGGATCTCTGTGAGTTCGAGGCCAGCATGGGCTACAGACTGAGTTCCAGGGAAGGTGCAAAGCTACACAGAGAAACCCTGTCTCAAAAAAAAAAAAAAAAAAAAAAAAAAAAAAAAAAAAGCAATATTACACTTTTGAATGGTAGGATGTACTTTTCAGTTAGGAATTCAAAAACGAAGTGAAAGAAACACGTTCTTACCCTGCTGGTAGAAATTAAAACCAAGACCTTCCAGAAAGTACATACCCATAAGGTATTATCTAAGAATTAAAAATACAAAGATTTATGAAGGCAGCTATCTTCCCACTACTACAGAAAGTAAGCAAAACAACAACAACAACAAAAACACACACACACACACACACACAAAACAAACTATTATCTAACAATAGTGTTTAAGTAGCCAAAACAAAATTCTTTAAAATATAAAAATATTTTTAAATATTAAAATCCATTAAAAATCAAATTTGCAAATAATTTTTAATGACTTAGGCAAATGCTGACAATAATGGATTGTTTCTTAAAACTGCAGTAGGTGGATACAGATGTAGCTGAGTGGTAGTGGTCCAGGGCTTAATCCCAGCAAAATAAAAAATAAAACAGGCAATCAGACTTTGTTGAGTATGAGCCCAATGTGAAAAAAACACTCAGAAAGTGGATGCAGAAAATCAGGAGTTCAAGGTCATCCTCAGCCACATCTTGAGTTCCAGGCTGGCCTCCATTACACAAGTCCCTGCTTCACAAAGAGGAGGAGGAGGAAGAACAAAGTGTGCACAGAGTTGAGCTCTGTTCCGCTGGCATTAACATGACTGAATTCTTTGAACTCCCACAACTATAAACAGTAATAACTCACATCCTGGGATGCTGGAAAGACCAAACAAAAATGTGTTTGGGTAATATCATTGCATGCGTTTAATGTGAGATATTCTTCTATCTGCATGCCTAGCTCTTATTTCCCATTGAAGCATGGAATGCCAATTAGAAGCATATACATATGATACAGAGATATCACCCTCTTGTGTAGTGTATGCAACCACTCCCTACCTCATAATAGGCCAATATGCCCAATGCATTGTTTGAGGACATTTATGGAAAGATCAAGTTAAAAATCTCACTAACATGACTCCCTCACCTCCTGCACTGGTGTTCAAACCTAGGGCCTTTAACATGCACCCCACCATTGAGCTGCACTGCACCCCAGTATATCTGAATATTTTAGCAGACATAAGGAGTCTCAGTTTTCCATCAGTGAAACAATTAGCGCTCACTAACCTACTATAATATTATACTACTCCAGTTATTCATCTGCAAATTATACTACCACTTACTAAGCACTATCATTCTGAACTCTTAAGTGGTTTATGAATGGGCCAAACCTCTAAATTACTCAACAAATGGTACCAGTACCCACCTCCCACTCCCACTGTATAGACAGGAGCTAAGATTTCAGTAACTTAATACATATATCAGATTAGATGACTTTAATATAAAAAGCAAATTTCTGAGCCAGGTGGTAGTGACACACATCTTTAACCAGCACTCCAGGCAGAAGCAGGTGGATCTCTGTGAGTTCGGGGCCAGCCTGGTCTACAGAGTAAGTTCCAGGACAGCCAAGGCTACACAGAGAAATTCTGTTTAGAAAGAAAAGAAAGAGAAAGGGGGGGGAAGAAAGA